AGCGTGCGCGCACGCATGAGTGGGGGAGGAGCAGAGAGAGAGGAGACACAGAATCCAAAGCAGGCTCCAGGCTCTGAGCTGTCAGCACAGAGCCCAACGCGGGGCTTGAACTCACAGACCGTGAGATCATGACCTGAGCCGAAGTCAGACGCTCAACCGATTGAGTCACCCAGGCACCCCTGACATATTTCTTGAACTGCATAAGAGATTACACTGCTTATTATTATTTTATAGAACCTAAATATTTTGAAAAAAGAAATGGAATTATTTTTGGAGGGTCTGGGAGGAAATTTAAAAAATTTTTTAAATTGCAGAGAATATAACAAACACCTGTAGACTATCTAGAATTGAGAACTGTATACTTCTGAAGAAAAATACACAGAAGAATTCAAATATCCTCAATGCATACTGAAAAATTCACTATATTAAAAATCAAACACACTCATCTCCTTAGTCATTATAAGGTTACAAAGCATTATACAAATAAGTCTTTATATAAATGCTAACCATTATAAAATCTATTTACTTACTTATTTTTAGAGAGACAGAGAAGAGTGTGCGAGCAGAGGAGGGGCAGAGGGAGAGAGAATCTGGACATGGGGCTTGATGCCAGAATCCTAGGACCATGACCCGAGCTCAAATCAAGAGACAGACGCTCAACCGACTGAACCACCTAGGCGCCCCAGATCCCTCGTAAAATCTTAACTGAAATTAAGAAGCTACACTTTTTTTTTTTTTTAATTTTTTTTTCAACGTTTATTTATTTTTGGGACAGAGAGAGACAGAGCATGAACGGGGGAGGGGCAGAGAGAGAGGGAGACACAGAATCGGAAACAGGCTCCAGGCTCCGAGCCATCAGCCCAGAGCCTGACGCGGGGCTCGAACTCACGGACCGCGAGATCGTGACCTGGCTGAAGTCGGACACTTAACCGACTGCACCACCCAGGCGCCCCAAGAAGCTACACTTAAGCCAGTGTTAGGTAACAGACTTCTCTGAAAATAAAGCGCTACCAACCCAACTATCCGAAAAAGATTTTAAAAAAAAATTTTTTTCACACTTTCCTAGAAAGGTCAGATAAAGGAAAAGAGGCCACAGCAATTCTTGGTACTTGCCCTTTATCTTTAGCATGCACATCAGCTCCGTGTTGCAGCAGATACTCCACCACAGACACCCTATTGTAGCCAGCTGCAAAATGGAGTGGTGTAGACTGACGCCCTTCAATGTCTCTGCAGTTGACACTCTGAACAGTGCACAATTTCTGTAGGATGGAACACAGTACACACATGATGCTGACTATCCTGACTTCTTGTTTTCATTAGTTTAGTAGAAATTTCAAATATCTGATTTATTTTCTTGTCTCATTAAATCAGTATTCTCAGAAACTACTTATTTTCTTTTTTTAAATTTACTTACTTATTTTGAGAGAGAGCTGGGGAAGGGCAGTTAGAAAGGCAGAGAGAGAATCCCAAGCTCTGCACTGTCAGCGCAGAGCCCCACACAGGGCTCAATCTCACGACCCTGGGATCATAGCCTGAGATATTAAGAGTTGGACACCCAACTGACTGAGCCACCCATACGCCCCATTATTTTACCTTGCCATTTACAGGGAATTATATTCTTATTTTACCTTGTCATTTATAGGAAATCCATCCCTCTGGTCCTCTCATCTATGCCTAAAGATGAGGCTAAAGCTAGTGGGTAAATTTTATCATTATCACTACTACTATTTACACAAAGGTAATCTAAAGTACCAATTATCAGCAATCGTTCATGGCAAATATACGTAGAGGTAGACCGGGTCACAGAAGTATTGGCATCACCTGGGGTTTGTTACAAATGCAGAATCTCAGACCCTCATCTATGGAGCCAGAGCCTGCATTTTAACAAAATCCCGAGATGATCTATAAGCACACTACAGTCTGAAGTGCTACAAGTTCTAGAAGTACTGCTCTAGACAGGGGTTCTCAAATTTTCATGCGTACTGGATCCTATCTCCAGATTTTCTAATTCAGTGTGTCTGGGGTGAGGCCTGAGAACCTGCATTTCTAACAAGTTCCCAGGTGATGCTTGTAGTCAAGGAACTACACTTATAATCCTCGGGAAAATTAAGAAAAGAGTCAAATAATTATTTTTGTGTTCTTTGCTTTAGATGAGGAAGCCTAAATGAGAAAAGCTGTAAGAATAACATTTTTATTCATGCTTGTATGAAAAGTACAAATGTTTGGGGGAAAAAAAACATAATAAATTGTGGTGCTTAAAAAAAGTCCAAAGAATATCAATATTAGTAAAAACTCTTACTTTTTTACTATCCTACCTTAAAAGCAGGGATAACTTAAGCCTAATAAACCAAAGTAGGTAGCTATCCATGGGTTTAACTTCAGGGGGTTTAATCAGAGGACTGATAAAGCTTTTTTACACTTTCAAGCAAGAGGTTGACAGATCTACAGATTCAGTGTTGCATTTGAGACAGTATTTCATGGCTTTGAAAAATGAATATTTTTAATACATGTGCCATGTGCTGCTAGTTTGGGTAGTTATCACCAGCCACTTTACTCCCTACCTCTCGGTTTAGTTTTGTATACTCTGAGACAAGTTTTCTAACACCTAGGAAGAAATATCTAACCTGATGTATTTAAACAAACACAACTGAACACATAATTGAATGTTCATTGGGTAATATGCACATGTCACTGTCCCAGTGATTCACACCAAGTCCCCTGTTTACGGACAGATAAGGACTAGGAAGGCTGTGGAAATAAATTACCATCAGGTGATTTTAAAAGCAGAGATTAAGTGAAGATGGCCTAATGCTTATTCCCAGAGAATGAGAAAGGAAGGGCTCTCCTCAATCCAATGGCATTTTTTTTTTTTTTTTTTTTAAATCCTGGGTGCTGACTTTTTTTTTTTTTTTTTTCCAACGTTTTTATTTATTTTTGGGACAGAGAGAGACAGAGCATGAATGGGGGAGGGGCAGAGAGAGAGGGAGACACAGAATCGGAAACAGGCTCAGGCTCTGAGCCATCAGCCAAGACCCGACGCGGGGCTCGAACTCACGGACCGCAAGATCGTGACCTGGCTGAAGTCGGACGCCCAACCGACTGCGCCACCCAGGCGCCCCCCAATGGCATTATTTTGTTCTCTAAGTCCAATTCCTGCCCCCATCTCTTCTCTTTATCTCTTTCTTGCTCTGGACTCCTTTTATCTTTACAAAAACAAAGTCTAATCTCCACTATTATATATACTGGATATAGCTTTATGCTCTTGAATATATGTAAGTGAATGAATGATTAACAATTTTTTTAATGTTTATTTTTGAGAGAGAGAGAGAGAGAGAATGCGCAAGCGAGCATGAGTGGGCGAGGGGCAGAGAGAGGGATACACAGAATCCAAAGCAGGCTCCGGGCTCCAAGCTGTCAGCACAGAGCCCAACGTGGGGCTTGAACTCACAAACTGTGAGATCATGACCTGAGCTGAAGTTGGACACTTAACTGACTGAATCACCCAGGCGCCCCAAGTGTTTAAAATTAACCCAGCACCCTCACCCCAACTCAAATCAGCTGGTAGCCCTTTAACTAGTTGACTTTAATTTTTTTTAAAGTTTATTTATTTATTCTGAGAGAATGAGTGAGCAAGAGCACATGCACAGGGGAGGGGCAGAGAGAGAGAGAGAGAGGGAGACAGAGAATCCCGAACAGGCTCCATGCTGTCAGAGCAGAGCCTGACTCAGGGCTTGATCCCACAAACCTGTGAGATTATGACCTGAGCCAAAAGCAAGAGTCAATGCTTAACTGACTGAGCCACGCAGGAGCCCCGCCTTTAATTTTTTTTAAGTGTTTATTTATTTTGAGACAGAGAGCGCGCAAGAGTGCGCGCGAGTGCCAGTGCGAGCAGAAGGGCAGAGAGGGGGGGAGAGAGAGAGAATCCCAAGTAGGCTCTGTGCCACCAGTGCAGAGCCTGGTGTGGGGCAGGGCTTATACTCACGAACTGTGAGATCGTGACCTGAGCTGAAACCAAGAGCTGGATGCTTAACTGACTAATCACCCAGGCACCTTGCTTTTACTTTTTAAATCACTTTTCCAGAAAAAAAAAGAACTAGCTCACTACTTTTAACTCAAGTGACTTGTTTTTCTGTAAGTCAGCAGTATTCAGTAATAGAAACCAAATCCTCCTTTCAGTATCTTATTTAACCTCCTACTTAAATGAATAAGAATGTAAATATAAAACATACCAAACAATAAGACTGCATTATAGTGGTGTTTTTTTCTTTGAAAAATGAAATTATTTAAAAAATAAAATCTAAAGTTACTTGGAGATGATTATACTACTATCTACCCACATAAAGCAGCAGGAAAAGATTACATGCACATTTAAATCAACTTTCAGAGGTCTCTTTTATATTTAAAAGGACAGTGAATAAGTTTCCTTAGAGCTCAAGTTCAGATGACACCAACATATTTCATTCTCAGGAAATCTTTGTGTGGTGAGTCTGTTCAGGATTGAGGACACAAAAGAAATACAGTGAAATTGTTTTATTTGGCTACTTCTGTCACACATCAACAAATTTAGTTTATAAAACTTATTACCTATCACTGTTCCCTCAAATAGGACCAGCACTGTTTTTGAAAAAGTCTGAGGGCAACAGTGAAAAAAAAACACCCATTGCATTACTGAAAAATTATTTAATTCATAAAACATGTTAATTTTAACCTATATTAGGTGAATTGAAAAATAGTCTTGCTCTTTCAGAATGTTAGCTCTGAGTTATTTACTGGGATATACAATTTCTGTAGGTAACAGAAATATCTGGTACAGGCATTCAACTACTACCTATGACTCTATAGTAAAAAGTAAAGCAAAATGTGAAGAAGGGTAATTCAACAGAGGATAACCACAGGAGATGGGCCGCGTACGAACTGAAGCTGGCTGGATGAACTGAAGATTATTAGGAGACCGTGGATCCGAAAAGTGACAACACAGTGGTAGAAAAGGGCAAAGAAATGAAACCAGAAGAAATACGTAGACACAGTGACACACTGTTTAGTTCTTTTTCCCATTCCTGTTTTATGCGTCATATAAACAATGGACAATAATTTGGTATCTTATTCTTTTAAAGGGACAAATGAATAGGTGCTTTAAACAAAATGTACTTCCATAAACATGCAGTTTACTTAATTTTGTGATTGTGAGGTATTTACTGAGATGCATGTGAAACTAAAGTTTTCCATTGCACAACGATCCTTACTTGGAGAGAAGAACTAGATTATCATTATTTACCTTTTTTTTTTTTAAAGGGTTTTGTCTTTTTTTTTTTTTTTTTTAAAAATTTTTTTTTTTAACGTTTATTTATTTTTGAGACACAGAGAGACAGCGCATGAACGGGGGAGGGTCACAGAGAGAGGGAGACACAGAATCTGAAACAGGCTCCAGGCTCTGAGCTGTCAGCACAGAGCCCGACGCGGGGCTCGAACCCACGGACCGTGAGATCATGATCTGAGCCGAAGTCGGACGCTTAACCGACCGAGCCACCCAGGCGCCCCAGGGTTTTGTCTTTTTTAATTTGAGAGAGACTGTGAGTGGGGGAGGAGCAGAGAGAGATGGAGAGTGGGAATCTCTGTGCTGTCAGCTCAATTTCGTGAACTGTGAGATCATGACCTGAGCTGGAATCAAGAGCTGGACGCTTAACCGACTGAGCCACCCAGGCGTCCCTCATTATTTACCTTTTAAAACAAGGCACATATACATAACTAAGCTCTTCATTACAACAGTACAGATACATTAAACACCGTGAAAATAAAACCCAAAAGTTAACAAAAACACAAGATCATATCTTACTTTTACAGTTTCTACATCGCCAGCCTTTGCAGCTTCCAGCAATTGTCTGTCTGCCTCTGAATTGCCTAATGGGATGCCCTCTAAAAACAGAGAAGGAAAGAGTGATTAGCTCTTATTTAGAAGGTAGGACCAAGCTTTAAGGGAGGCATCTTATCTCAAAGTAAAGTTCTTTTTGCAGTTTGGTAGATTACATAATAAATCTCCAAGGTAGTAGGGGAAAACCATTAAGACACTGTTAAAAACTTTCTCGAGACAAAAAAAGAATTTTGGGAAACATTAAACATATAAACAGGCAAAATGTTTATATACATATAAACAGGCAAAACGTATGTAAATGTGAATAACAACTATAAACTGTGATTTAAACAATATAACGGAATGTAAAATAGATGAAAGATGGCATATTCTACAACCAAGGCCACTGGATGGTGGAAAAGCTTTACATTAGGAGAGCAATGGCCAGAGATCTAACCACGGTTCTGCCCTTAACTAGCTATCTGAACTGGGGTGAAGGGCCTCAGATTTTTTCAGTTCTAAAAAGAGAAAAGATCGACTAGAAGATAACTAAAGTCATCTTCAGGTCTGAAATTTTGTTTTATAGCTCACTTAAAATCTCATAGAAAAGAAAGAAAACATGTACTTTGAATCTTAGAACAAAAATTCCAATGGATTGAAGACTGAAGGATAAAAAATTAAACCTTAAAAATACTCAAAGACAATCTAAGTGAGTATTTTTATACCTGGAGTAAAAAAGCATCTTAGAGTAGTACACCAAGGCAGGACCCAAATCAATTAGGAAAAATATGTCAGGCAATAACATAACATTAAAATTATGAAGGCAAGGGGCGCCTGGGTGGCTCAGTCGGTTAGGCGGCCGACTTCGGCTCAGGTCACGATCTCGCGGTCCGTGAGTTCGAGCCCCGCGTCAGGCTCTGTGCTGACAGCTCATAGCCTGGAGCCTGTTTCAGATTCTGTGTCTCCCTCTCTCTGACCCTCCCCCGTCCATGCTCTGTCTCTCTCTGTCTCAAAAATAAATAAACGTTAAAAAAAAAAATTAAAAAAATAAAAATAAAAATAATGAAGGCAAATAAAAAAAAAAAAGGAAAAAATACTGCAACCTGTATCTTAGAAATGCAAATTAAAATACTGTGATACTAGATTTTTCTTTTTTATCCATTAGTGGGCAGGGTGGAAATGGGGGAGGCTACCCTGACAATATTTCTATATTTTGCATTAAAAAAAAGCATCTATTACTTCTGAAATTCACACACATTCACCCAACGAAAAGATTAAGAATCATACTAGCGCTGACAAACAGGTCTTGTCATACACTGTCAGTAGGAGTATAAAATGGTACTTAAAAACCTTTCTAGAAGATGATTCAACAATTACATGTTATCCTTTGACCTGGAAATTCTACTTTGATAATTTAAGAAACTCGCTGGAAAGGTAAGAAATCGCTTAGCACAAAACTAGCAAGACTATAAATGTCCATCACTATGCAAGTGAATAGGACCAGTGTTATAACCCCAAACCTGACACCAGAACAAACATATCGTATACGGGGAACTAAAGAGAATCTTCAAAGAGTCTTGTAGTTAGTTCAGCTTTGGCAGTTTCCAGGAGGTTTTACCAACCTGCCTTCATCTATTCAGTGTTTTTCTCAAAAGCTGGTTTCTAAGACCACAGGCATAAGGATCATCAAAAGTGACTGTTAAAGATATAAGAGGCTTGATCTGTTAGATTTCTTCTCATTTGAGCCCTGAGATGTCAAAGTCACTTTCAAATTTATTGGACCAGATTTCTAGGCTGAAACGTATAACCTAGGCAAAATGTAGATATTTGATCTAAATATTTAAAAATGTAATGAACATGCAGGTATTCAATAAATGTTTTAGTAAGTCAAATAGTTGGTTACCTGGTACAAATTCTACATGCCTCATATATGAAGGAGATAATAAAACAGCGAAGAGGTAGGGCCAGTCTTTAGAGTATTATTTATCATTATGGATCAACTAAGAGACACCTACCTTTTTATGTTTTCCTTTCTTTAAAGAAATAGCAACTATTATAGCTCACTCTTAAACATTTTCTAGATAAAAACTTAAGAGAAACTGGGCAGAAAACACTACTGGAAAATCATAACTAAGACTTCATGACATCTGGAGCACTGAGTAGAAAAAGTTATGAAATAACAGCCAAATAGTCTACATTTTCTTTTTACTACCAACTCCCATGTAATATGTGAAAAAATTTAAAGGATAATTTTATTTTTATTTTTTAACATGTATTTATTTTTGAGACAGAGAGAGACAGAGCATGAACGGGGGACGGTCAGAGAGAAAGGGAGACACAGAATGCGAAGCAGGCTCCACGCTCTGAGCTGTCAAGCACAGAGCCTGACACAGGGCTCGAACTTACGAACCGTGAGATCATGACCTGAGCCGAAGTCGGACGCTCAACCGACTGAGCCACCCAGGCGCCCCTAAAGGATAATTTATTTATTTAAAAAAAAAAATTTTTTTTTTCAACGTTTATTTATTTTTGGGACAGAGAGAGACAGAGCATGAACGGGGGAGGGGCAGAGAGAGAGGGAGACACAGAATCGGAAACAGGCTTCAGGCTCTGAGCCATCAGCCCAGAGCCCGACGCGGGGCTCGAACTCACGGACCGCAAGATCGTGACCTGGCTGAAGTCGGACGCTTAACCGACTGCGCCACCCAGGCGCCCCCCTAAAGGATAATTTTAAAAAGTTGATTTCATGAAAGCATTTAATACCTTGAAGAAGTTGCTGCACGTTTTCATTTCCCATCTGTAAGGCAGTAAAGCCCTGAAGGGATATGATGTTAGGATCACACCCATAGCTCAGGAGTAGGCGGCAGGTTTGCAGATGACCACAATGTGCGGCTCTGTGCAGAGAAGTCTGACCAAGATTATCCAGAGCATTAACCTTAACAATGCAGAAAAAGCCAAAATTAGCCTGCAACACAAAACTTAAAACCATCCAATTATGAATTTAACACTTGCTACTGATTTAAAAATCCTAATTATTCTCTTATGAAGCCTCTTATCTGGTGCCAAAACAAGTGTTTTTGCTCAAATCTAGAGCATAAATTCACTAATTCATGAAGGCCGATACCAGAAAAGACCTTTTTTTGGGTTAAAAGCAGGAAATGTTGAATAACAGTTGTGTTTGACATTAAAGTATTAGTAAATTTACTGCATTTTGAGGTAGACACTGCCTAAAAAAGTTTAACTCGTGTGTTCTTAAAGATCTCTGAGGTCCAGAAACGCGGAGACTAACCCTCAAGATACACGACAGTAACAAAGCCAGAGACTAAGTTAGCATTGAAAACATTTATTCCTATCGGCTTAATCTTCTACCTTTTTAAATCATCCAAATATAATCTGTATAGATACACAAACACATTACATACATTTACACAACAGAATACTTCTACGCAATAAAAAGGAACAAGCTATTGGTACATGGATCAATCTCCAAAATATACTGAAAAGAAAGCCTTACACTGAGTATGTATTGTATGATTCCATAGACATGAAGGCCTAGAACAGGCAAATCTAATCTATATAGGAAATCATCAAAATGGTTGTTGCCTTATGGGTGGAGATTGCCTTGGATGGGGCCCTGCTTCTGCCATGAAATAACATTTTATAGCCTGGTAAGTTTTGGTTACACAGGTGTATGCGTTAGTCGAAACTCAGCAAACGTACATTTAAGATTTGTGCATTTCAGTGCACGTAAGTTTTAAATCCCACCAAAAACCTGTAAACAAATACTAACCTCTAGATAATGCCTATATGGAAATATTTAGGGAGAAGTGTATAGCAATTTGCAAATTATTCTGAAATATGTAATATGTATATATACACTTATGGACAGAGGGAGAAACTGATGGGTATGTAATAAAACAACACAGTAAAATGTTAATTCCCCCATCTCAAATCTACCTGCAACCCTCCCTACCAGGGAAGTAATTCTTTAAACATAAGTGAGAAATTAAGTTCCTCAGTAATCAATCCTGCGGCCACTAGTGTGATTTGAGACACATCCAATTCATATTCATAGAACTGGAGAATATCTGAACAGGAATATATTAAGACTTTCTCAATGAATCTCAAACTAGATTATAGAGAGCTAGTCTCCATGCTTTTGGAAACTGAAAACTGATTTAAAATGCTCAGGACAATTAATCTATTTATTCCCAAAACAAAACTCACTGAAATGTGAAATACATCCCACTTGACAACTTTATTTGGGTACCACTTTGTGTGAAGATCAGGGTGACAAACTTGTCCTGGTTTGCCTGGGATTTCTCTGGTTTTAGCACCGAAAATCCTGTTTCTGGAAATCCCACAGTTCCTGAACAAACCTGGATAGTTTGTCACCCTCATCAAGATTGCTTCGTTGAGCAATACAACGTTTGAGAATACAACTCAAATTTAGTATGTATCCAGATATTCTTCTAGTAATGCACCACATGTATGGAAAAAAGCAATCTATGAAAAGTTATAGAACAGACGAGATATGCCAAGCAGTCAAGCAGAAATAAACTTTATTTTATTCAGTAATTTACAATAGGAAAGACTGAGATTATACATTATCAAGAATTCCCCCAAATCAAAGAGAAATTAGAACAGTGAAAGGAAACACAAACAAGAAATTGTAGAAAGAATTCTGAGTGATTCCTTGAGTGGGATCCTACAGAAGGACAGATCAGAAAACTATTCTGGCAAAGCACATTTAGGGAAGAGCCTTGGGGCCACCCAAGGGCTAAAGGGTCTCTACTCCTTTCTTTTCCTTTCATTCAGAGCAGCTCCATTCTTTGTTACATAATGAGTTTCTACTCAAGATTCTGTTTGGAAAAGGCAAGGTTCTGTGGCTAAAAACTGTGAGAGCTGTTGAATCAGATGACTGTCATCTCTTCCAATCTGGGATGTCATGTGTATCTTTTACTGAGTGGTATTTTTTAAAGTTCCTGGGTAACAAGTGATGATCTCTAGCCTGATGAAAACATAAGTATTCTAAGAATAAAATGCTTTGTATACAAATGTCAACTAAAGAATACTGACTTCCCAATATGGGGAGCTATGAATGGGGAGTCGAATTTTTTAAATAATTTACTTCCTTCTGTTCCAAGTCTTTTGGCTTAGTCACAGAAATAACAGAGAGTAAGAAAGACTGTGGCTGGGGATAACAAGAGTATCATGGTAACCAAGGAACAGAAGACATGAGTGAGAGAAGACTGGAGATGATGGGTCAGAATCAGTGTGTCTCCAGCTGAGGATATTCTCAAGAGTATTGTTAAAAAAAGACCTCAAAGGTAAACTTGACCAGTGGGGTGTGGGTAACGGGAATGGAGAAGGAAGCATGTACTTTTGAATAAATCCTTAGGTTTCCTAGCAAAAAATCAGATAAAGAAAAGTACCTGCTAGTCTATTTTTAAGTATAGATTAAGACGAAAGAAATAGCACTTGTGAGAGAGATACAGTTTAGGAAGCCAGGTATTTCATCTGCTAAACAGGAAATAACTCACTGGATTACCAAAGATTACCAAAAAGGAAGTATACCTTTGCTTCATGTTTCACGACTACTTCGACAACATCATTATGAGCTTTCTCAGATGCCACGTGTAGAGGAGTCAAGAATCTTAAAAAGAAAAAGTCAGCCAGACAGTGAATATATTATCCAAAAAATAAAAGGTCAATAATTTTTAATTACTAAATGTATACTTACTCTTTAGTCTTTTCATTGATGTTTGCTCCTTTTCTTAGCAAGAGTTCACATATTTGCTTTCTTTTAGGGTACGGAGATGCGGCAGCACAATGCTAGATAATTTAAATTGCAGCATTAATCAAGGACTATACATGACTGATTTTTATTTAAGAACATTTGTGTTTCCAATCAAGAACAACCAAGAAGTTATTTAATTTCTTTGTTTTATTTTTGACCTAACTTTGCTACTCAAAGACTTTCTATTGGATAAAATGTACAACAGTTACCAAATTCTGGCAGGGCCTGCAAATCCTATTTACCAGAGATAGGTATCTGTTACTAAATATTCTGGTTGAGTTTTACAGTTGTCCTACATCTTTGAAAAAATCAATAGTGATGTGATGAAAATTCAAATTACTGTGACCAATGCTCCTTTTAAAACTATTCCCACATAACATGATATTTATGTTATTTTTGAAGGTTAATTAATGAAACACCCCAAAGGTTGGAGTTTCTTTATATGAAGAAATAAAAGACACTCATCAGCTCTGGAGGCTGCTTGGTAACAGCACGGATCAAATAGCTGCCAAGATTAGTATTTACTTCTTTCTCAACTAGTTGCTTCAACAGAATAAGGAGCTTGGATTAGCTTGGATTTGTCAAAATCAATGGGAGAAGATGAAATGCTCTACAACGAAGGCTGTAGCATCGATATCTATGATACGTCAAAGAGGAAAGGAGTCAGGAAGTGGGGATTTGCCAGTTATAAACCTAGTATGTATCTCATGGTCATGTCCCAAAATCTTTGCATCTCTAATATCCAGGATAATACTCCTATACAATAGGTGTTCAACAAATGTCTGAATGTGTGAATGACGAGATCAATGTAAAGATACTAAGTTCAATTGAAGCCTGAGAATTCATGGGATAAAAGTTCTGGATAACTGTTAAGCTAAGTTGTTCTATATATCTAAATTCAAAGTACATATGAAATTTGTTCTCTTACTTTAACCTATTAATTATAAAGCTTATCTGATCTTCATGACTGCTTCAGATTCATTCTGTGTTGCTGCTGTCACCAAAATCATTCCTTTGCCCTCAATAAAAAACATTTCTAACTGGTAAACACAGCTCCTTTGGTATGTCGGGAGTTACCATCCCAGGACATCTATCTATCAGGGTAGCACACAAAACAGAAATAGTTTATTTCCAAGAATTCTTGATCACATCCATCTCAAAACTGCACTCCTACTCCTCAGCCCCATCCTGGGGCAGCACCTGTAATTTCTGGAAGCCTGGAAAATACTGCCCCTCCCTGCACCACAACTATCCACCAATACTTAACTCCTAGTAGGTTTTAACATTAGTAACAGAAATAAGTTGTTTAATAGCAGATTACTTACAGGGAAAATAATATATAGTATTAGCTTTTCAGAGCAGAAAATTTTCCTGTCAGTCTTTTCAGATTTCTCTGCACCATCTTGATAATTTGCACTAGCACTTCTCATTAGTCTGCAGCTTTACTCTTTTTTTTGCTTAGATATTTTTTACAACTCGAGTGGCAAAAAGGCCTAAAATGTGTTATAGATAGGTTCCTACGTGACCGTCACATAGTTTACATCATGGCATAAGGAAGGAAATTAACCAATAACCAAGAAAATGAATGATCTACAAGATACTAGGTAAGTAGAACTATGAGTTAAATTTGCCCCTAACCATATTTGTTTACTTGGGGTCCTCTTCCCTCACTCAAAGCACATTCTGCAATTCATACAGCAGCACTGACTTTGTTCCTTTTAAACCGTTAGTTCTAAGACAGTCTGATCACACCATTCTCTTCCTATCTGCCATCACTTTATCCCTACTGGATCCCATTCTTTTCTGCTTTTCCACAGACTGCCCAATTCTCATCTACTTTGTTACAGCTCCACAGAAGTGTTACTACCTCTATCTGAGAAGCAGCCTCTACTCACATAGACACATTATTCACACAGTATAGAGGGGATATATACAGACCTCAGACTGATTCTGAAAAAAATTATAATACTGGAAGGAAAAGCAAGTGGTTTTTATATGGATGGCAGAATTATTTTTTTTTTCATTACCCTGAGTGGGTTCAAAATTCTCAATCACAAGCATTTACAATTTATATAACAAAAAAGGAGATGATAGGTACTATTATGATAGTAAAAAGGCCACCTATAATATATGTCAGTATACAAATAGTTTTTTTTTTCTGGAAGGATACTTAAATGAATAATACTATTGCCTTTTAGAGGGGTGAGGTTGTCTATTTTTCTGTACTGTTTGAAATTTTTTCTTTATACATGTTCAGGTACTAATTTAAAAAAAACAAATCTTTAAAACAATTCTATTAGTAAAAGTAGGACATTATGTTATTCTGTGTCATCAAAAGAAGTATGACGTTATGATTAGTTTAGCATGTTTTTGGTTATTGCATCTTAAAAACTTTAATCTGAAACATTACCAATGCTGTTTCATGTGTTTGAGGATGCTTGAAATTCACCATTTCCAGAGAGAGATGTTTTTTGATTCGTGTAACATCAGCTTCCCGTGCAGCCTGCAGCAACGAGTGGCCTTTAAATTCATCTAGATGAAGAAAAAGCATGCAAATTATTGAGGTTCTGAAGATATTCTCCAAATATAACCCCCCAAAAGGGAGACAATGCTATACCAGCTTTTCTCAGTTATGACCCAATTCATCCCCAAATGTATACACAGATTTAGCCCATGGCTGACTCAGGGTCTATTTTGGTCTGTAGGGACCCAGAGTACTGCAATGTATTCCCAGACCTGAGAGTTCTAAGAATTTTCCAAAGCAGATTATTTTTCTCAGTAAACAAATAAAACAAAAAGTGATCATGGTCCCTACACTAGCATGGCAGCAGCAGGTAATTTTGCTCACACATCAGAGAACTGGTGACCAGAAAATCAAATATTTTTAAGAGCCACCTACTGATGAACAAATGAAAGAGTATTTTCTCAACATTCCTTTCATGCATCAGATTTGTGACACCACCCATTAGCCTTTATTGTTCCAGAAGAATACAAATGTTAACACCAGTTTCCTACTTCTATGTAGTAATACTGTATCTGAACCAGGTGGCTGTTTCTCACTACATCTGTATCAGTTATAGACCGAAAACCACAGAACTGCCTACATACTAAAGCATATTAGGTGGTAAAATCTGGGGACTATGTTTACAAGACAGCAATCCTACAAATAACACTGTAACTTCATGGCAGATTAATCAGAAACTCACACCAAAGATAGGAACAAAACCCAAATTCTTTCTTTTCAAACCCATACCAACTATCTAGACTAATACATATAAAAAGCATTGAACTTGACTTGAAAAAACAAATAGAAATATATTTTCTTTTCACGGCATCTTAAGACTAGAAGTTCTCGAGTAGAAACCTCCAAGTGACTAAATATGCTCGCACGAACAACAATAGATACCCATGGCTAAGGGTATCATAGCTATTATTTAAAAATTTCTAAAAACAGTGAGAAAGAACAAATTTTTAGTTTATTGGTATCTTAATATTCGAGGTTGAACATTCATCATTTTATACTCACATGCTAATCTTTCTTTTAACTGTGGTGTGGGAGCCAAGTCTATAGCACTTTTATTATGACAATTCAGCAGTGTTGGATCTGCACCGTAACTTAGGAGAAGAGAACACACTTCAACCCTGTTCTTTGAAGCTGCCTCATGAAGAGGAGTGAATTGCCACAAGTCCATTGCATTTACACAGGCACCATGCTGAAGGATTGGGAGGCGGGTAGAGCATATATTTAGTGTTCAATTTGTAAGAGAGTTTAGAATTATTAGTACTGTATAATTTAATATCATGCATGCTTAAACAAGTTATGTTCTCAAAGTTCACTTTTCAAACTAGTTATTTCAGAAATACATTTCTCCCCCCACGGAAAACCAGCAGCTTGTTGCTAGGCCTATGCACAAGGGCCTTATTTAACTCTTTTATTGTTAAAAACACAGTTAAGAATGAAGCTTTAACTTGCATCTTTTCCAATTTCTAATTTTTTTTAATTTTTTTTGTGGTATAATTTACATATGGTAAAACACAGTTCTTCAGTGAATAATCTGACAAGTTTTGACAAATATATACAGCCATGATAACATCACCCAACTCAAGATATAGGATACTTTCATTACCCCAGAATGTTCCCTCACGCTCCTTTTATAGATAATTCCTGGCCCCATTCTGTTAGCACCATGTTAGATTTACCTGTTCTTGAACTTCATAAAAATAGAATAACACAGTATGTACTTTTGTGTCTAGCTTCTTTCACATACAGTGTTTCTGAGATTCATTCATGTTGTATCAACAGTTCATTTTTATTGCTGAATAGCATTCCATTGTACAGATGCACCATAATTTACTTATCCATTACTCTGTTGATGGGCATTTGGACTATTTCTAGTTTTTGACTATTATGAATAAACTGTAATGAACATTCATGTACGAGTCCCTTTATGGACACATGCTATGTCCCTAGGAATGGAATTGCTGGATGATAGGGTAAGTATAGGTTTACTTTTATTAGAAACTGCCAAATAGTCTTCTAAAGTGGCTGTATTACTTGTGCATTGCCATCAGCAATGTTTGAGTTCTAGTGCTCCCCCATCCTTGTCAGTCTTTTTAATTTCAGCCATTTCAAGTAATGGAGTTGGACAGAGCACAGAAGTCATTCCAGTTCAATCTCATCTCTCACAATCCCTTCCACAGTATTCCTGCACAAGACAAATGAATTCCTTACCCTTTTTGGTATTCTCAATAATGGGAAACTAATTCTCAACTAACATGATTTTTCATAATTACCAGGTAAATCTTATTACAAGTTATCTTCTATCTTAAGTTAAACATGTATTTTAAACTTTGATCTACTGATATTTGGAGCAAATGAGATCAACATTCTTTGCAGTATTTGAAAGCAACTCTTACGTTTTTCTTTTTGAGTCTAAACACCTTCAGCTCCTTCACTCATCTTTCTTATCAGATGGTTTCTAGACTTCCTTTCACCCTAGCTGCCCTCAGCTAAATATACTTCAGTTTAAGAACTTCATTAAAAGGAGCTCCTGGGGCCACCTGGCTGGCTCAGTTGGAAGACAATGTGACCCTTCATCTTGGGGTTGTGAGTTCGAGGCCCATGTGGAATGGAGCGATTACTTAAATAGCATACATACATAGATACGTACATACAAATACTTCATTAAAAAAAATACTGAGAGCCGGGGTGCCTAGGTGGCTCAGTTGGTTAAGCCTCTGGCTCTTGACTTCAGCTTAGGTCATGATCTCACAGTTCGGGAGTTCGAGCCCTGTGTTGGGTTCTGTGCTAACAGCTGGGAGCCTGAAGCCAGCTTTGGATTCTGTGTCTCCCTCTCTCTCTGTCCCTCCCCTCCCAGCACCCCTCCCCTGCTTGCGCTCTGTCTCTGTCTCAAATATAAACAAACATTAAAAAAATTTTTTGGAAAAAATAAAACCATATGGTACCTCATAAACCTCAAAGCGGTCAAATGCTGACCTATAAATCATCTATGTAAGGATTATACATATTCCTTCTATACCCACCAAGCACTGAAAATAGTGAACAGGTATACGATATATTTCAAATTGGTTTTATAATTCTAAGAAAAACAGAAGAGAACTAACCTTGACCAGAAGTTCAGTTACTTCATAATGACCATAAGAACAGGCATTGTGTAAGGGCACCAGATCACTACAGTATGGGGTGAGGGTGAAAAGAAGTCTGTGTTATTACAGATCCCCTAGGCGTAATTGTAATTAACTTAAATTTACACTTAGATTTAAACAGCAAATGGCTTTTGTGACCTTCAAACAGAAATGAACAGAATTTAACACCCATTTAAGCACTAAGTTCTAACAATCCTAACTCCCAAGTCGCTTCCAAATCCATCTTTTTTTTTCCTGCATGGCTAACACCATGGCCTTTATTATTTCTTCTTATACTACTGAAACAGCTTCCACTTCAATTTACCCTCCAAACTGTAGCCAGATTTTTCTAAAAGGTAAATATGGCATAGTTACTCCTTGTTTTAATGCCCTTCACTGGTTCTTCCTTGCTTTTGAAAGCTGGTTCCAACTGCTTACCCTGGCATGCAATGGTCTGGCCTTCTGGAACCTTACCCTTCAATGATGGTACACTCAAGCACTTGCAGTTCCCTTGATGCCTCTGCACATACTATCCCCTTGGTGTAGAACAGACTTCCCTCCCTCCTGGCTTCTACAATCTTTTCCAGACTCCGAGCTCAAAAACTGGCTCTTCTTTGAGACTTTTTTTTTCAGATTCTGTAGGGTAAATTACTTAATAAACTAAAACCCAATTCCTTCATGATGGCAATGGAGAAAGAACTTTCTGTATAGGAAGGTACGGCGGAACCTTAAAATCCTGACTTGTACCTTTAAGCTGCTCTTCCTTGGGGATCACTCATTCATTAATTACCACAGACACTATCGTGATGGCTGCTGGTGAGGAAGAGCCACTCACAGTTTAGCCTTTAATTTTACCTGTCCTCTCTTTAAAGGCTCGTGGCTTTCCTCACCATTTTTCACTGTAGGATTTCTTTCCTGAGCACCGATTTCATTCCCAACTATCTACTGGCTCTCTCTACCTGAGCCCTCATCATCATCTCATAAAACCGAGAGTTCTAAAAGTGAACTCAGGGGTGCCTGGGTGGCTCAGTCGGTTAAGTGCCCAGACTCTTGATTTTGGCTCAGGTCATGATCTCACGGTTCTTGAGTTCGAGCCCCGCACTGGCCTCTGCCCTGACTACATGGAGCCTGCTTGGATTCTCTACCTGTCTCTCTGCAACCCCCTCCATCGCCCGTTTGTGCATGCTCACTGTCTCTCTCTCAAAAATAAATAAACATAAAAAAAAAAAGGGAACTCAACGTTTTCTTCCAAGATTTCCCTCCTGGATTTTAGCATGTGTATCACTGGGTCTCAGTCATTCAGCTTCAGAATTTGAAATGTAGTTATCTTTTTATTCCTTTCTCATTCATCATATTCAGTCAACAAATCTTGGCCATACTTACCTTGTAATATATCTCCTGCACCTATGTCTTCATTTCCATTCCTCTGCAACATTATTATAGATTCTCATTGTGCTTGAACCCCTACAATGATTACTCTAACTGCTCTTTTCCTTCTGGCTCTTTGTCTCCAAACTACTCTACACATTCCTGCCAGAGTGTGTCCCCTAAAACCCCTCTTTTAGAAAAAATTTTCCCCTTACTTAAGATCCTTCAATGGCTCACAGCTCACAGCTTGAATTCTTTAGGCTAGAATACCAAGTCTTCTAAAACTTGCTTTTTACCTACTTCTCCAACCCTAAACTTCATTTCTCCCTCCTGCATAAATCATCTGCTTCAGCCATACTGGTTTAGTCATTGTTTCTTAAAGATGTTGTAATATATGCTTCAACACCTCCTCTCACACAGATTCTCTTGCACAAAGATGTTTCCTAAGCTCTCTGCTCTCTTGAACTGAGTCCAGGTCAAGTATCACCTCCTCCTGAAGGATTTTCCAGCCACTACAGCCATCACTGAGAGTTCCCTCCTGGGAACTCCTAAAGTACTATCTCTATTATACCTCACACTTGGTAGAGATCTTATATTGTTAGCTATCTTTCCATTCTCCCTAAATGCAGTGTAAGCCCTATGAGTGGGAGCTTTACGATTTTATAATTCTCAGATTCCTGAGAGCAATCTGCATATTGTAAAAACTCAATAATGTTTATGCTGTTTAGCAAACACTAAGATTTTTATAAGATTACAGAGATTATTACAAGGACAGAAACATCTGAGAAATCCTCATCTGTTTCAAATGCTTACTTACCCTTTATCTTTAGCATGGACATCAGCTCCATGTTGCAGTAACAGCTGTACAATTTTTACTCTGTTGTATCCTGCTGCCAAATGCAATGGAGTTGACTGAAATATTAATCAAATTAATGAAATTAAAATAATAGTTACAGAAATGCGTGAAAAGGTAAAAATCCAAATACCAAAAATCCAGAAAAAAACTTGATAAAGGTATTAATTTGGTTTTATAGAATCCAACATATGTACTGAAGGCATAAGTTTGTAAGTTCGTTATTAAATAAGAAGCAAACAACTATATATTTATTATCAATAAAGTATTACTAAATTTAAGAATCCAAACTATTACTTAAAAGAAATATTAGCATTTGCATCAAACGTTTTCTTTTTTTTTAAGTTTATTTCTTTTGAAAGCGAGAGAGAGAAAGAGAGAGCTCAGGGTGGGGGGTGCAGATAGAGAGGGAGAGAGAATCCCAAGCAAGCTCTGCACTGTCAGAACAGAGCCTGATGCGGGGTTTGATCTCACAAACCATGAGATCATGAGCTGGGCCACAATCAAGAGTCGAAAGCTTAACTGACTGAGCCCCCCAGGTGCCCCTTCAACAAATGTTTTAATTTTTAGTGACACAAATGCATTTTCATGTTACCAGGAGGATGAACACAAGTTTAGTTGCAAAATGAAGTACCTTTCTGCCATCACTTGCATGGCAGTTGACATTTAATGGTGTAAGAAGAGCCATCATTTTTTCTTCATTGCCACTCCTACCACACAAAAAAATGTATTAGTAATTTGTATTCTTTATCAGAGCCTATATGGAGGCATATATGTGACTATTAAAAAAATCATTCTCTTTTAAAGTTTGCTTGTTGTTAAAAAAAAAATTAATGATGAAGTTATTCATGGTACGTATTGATTACACCAGTACATACCTGGCACTTTCCAAAAGTTCATCTTTCTTATATTCACCTGTGAATTAGGGGAAAAAAGGAGATTAAAGAAAATTGAGTCACAAAAGTAGTAACAGTTTTATGCATAAAGATCCTCATGAACTATATTTAAAGTAGATAAACGAAATTTCCAAAAAATGGAAAATGGTTAATTAACAGAATATTGTACAGTTTAAAAATAATTATATAAAGAACATGGAATAATTTTTATAAAAGTAAAAAAAAAATCCAATATTACATAATGAAACTTTATGAAAACAATATTCACCAAAAAAGGAAAGCCAAGAAGAAAATAAACCAAACTTTCAAAAGTTTGTTCTAGGTGGTAGGTTACTGGTGAGCTTTTCCTTTTTTTTTGTAAAGGAAAGAATTTTCCAAATTTCCTAAAACCAATTATGTTATTTGTTCAACAGACAAAATGCACCCACAACTTCACTCAAAGGTAAAACAAAACAAAATTCAATATACCAACATTATAGAGATAACAAAAGATAATCTACGGCATTATCAACTGAACATATTGTTAACATTTTTATGGATCCAGAAGATTCTTCAACACTAAAATTATATTTATTATAATGCTACTTAAATATATGCAAATAAAAATTGGATCAAATATAAACTCTTTATGCCTATAGCTTTCATATTTACAAACGAATACAAACAAAATTTTTAAATGAATATAACTTAAATTAACCTAATGGATAGTGCTTACTGATTTGCTGAAATAAAATCCAAACTGCTGCCCACAGTGCAAATTATATATTGATTACTAGTGCAAGGCTTCTTTCAGCCCCAAGGTGTTTAAAAAGAAAAAAGCAGGGAATAGCATGGAATAGGGAAGGGGGAAGTAAACACTGGATTTATAGTTACAGCAGTTCACTTTTCTAGAACCCCTTTGAGGGACTAGTCTAAATTTTCTCAGTAGTACCAGAAGAAATATCACAAATTCCAAGCACAAGAGCTCATAGCACAAGCCCTCAGGCTCTTGACTATTGGACTGATTCTAATGGTGATCACACAGTGAAGAAGAATCCAGAAAATAATATGGCAGAGAGCTGCTTAAAAGGAAACAGTCTGATGAAGGAGAAACATTTGAAGTGGATACTACCACTTGAAAAGGCTTGACAGTCTAAGTAAACCTAGAGACTAAGCCTTACACATCCTAAGAGGTTCCAAAGACATGAATATGTTATGCGAGAACAATAATTGACACTCTTCATGGTAATGAAATTGGTATGGCCAGAATCCTCTGTCTAGAAAAGGGAATGGTTAGAGCTCTTAGAGCTTTTTGAAAGGGTTTCATAAAAGAGAGAAAAAGAAAAATATTAAAATACATTAAAAAAAATAGTATATTGGGGTGCCTAGGTGCCTAGTTGGTTAAGTGTCCGACATTGGCTCAGGTCATGATCTCATGGTTTGTGGGTTTGAGCCTCATGTCAGGCTCAGAGCCTGGAGCCTGCTTGGATTCTATGTCTCTCTCTCTCTCTCTCTCTCTGCCCCTCCCCCACTCGTGCTCCACCTGTCTTTCTCTCTCTAAATAAACATTAAAAAAAAAAAAGCTTAAAAAACAGTATATTAAAAGGGTAAACATGTTATCTTGAAAAATCAGGACATTTATTTTTTTAACTTCTTATAAACTGACAGCCTATACAGAACCTTGTAAAACCATATATATCACAAAAAAATTTTAGCAGAACAACTGCAATGCCTGGAAAAGTAGCATTTTTAGGCAGCTTAGCTTGGAAATAGAAATTCTCTGATTTCAAAATGAGATGTTTCCTTATTCACTGGCTAATAAAAATTTCTGAGATTTCACTTATTTTAAGCTACTCTTTTGTTGTTGTTGTTGTTGAAGCTTTTAATTACCTGATACTCCTCACAACAAGTGCACTCCTTAATCCTTATCACCTATTTAACCTGTCCCCCCACCAACCTCCCCTCTGGTAACCATCAGCTTGTTCTGTATAGTTAAGCGTCTGTTTCTTGGTTTCTTGCTCTTTTTGTCCCCTTTGCCCCCCCCCCCCCTTTTGTTTAAGTTCCTCATATGAGTCAAATCACATGATATTTGTTTTTCTCTGACTTATTCTGCTTGGCATTATACTCTCTAGCTCCATCTATGTTGTTGTCAATGGCAAGATTTCATTCTGTTTTATGGCTCAGTAATATTGCATTGTGTGTGTTTATGTATCTATGTATGTATGTTATACGTGTGTGCGCGCGCGCACACCACATTTTCTTTATCTGTTTATCTATTGATGGACATTTGGCCTGCTTCTGTATCTTGCCTATTGTAAATAATGCTGCTATAAACATTGAGGTGCACCTATCCCTTTGAATTAGTGTTTTTGTATTCTTTGGGTAAATACCCAGTAGTGTGATTACTGCATTGTAGGGTAGTTCTATTTTTAACTTTTTGAGTTATATCTCCATACTGTTTTCCACAGTGGCAACACCAGTTTGCATTCCCACAAATGGTGCACGAGGGTTCCTTCTTCTCTACATCCTCACCAATACCTGCTGCTTCTTGTGTTGTTGATTTTAGCCATTCTGTAAGGTGTGAGGTGGTACCTCATTGTAGTTTTGATTTGCATTTCCCTGACAATCAGTAATGCTGAGCATCATTTCACGTGTCTGTTGGTCATCAGGTATGTCTTCTTTGAAGAAATGTCTGTTCGTGTCTTCTGCTCATGTTTTAATTGGATTATTTGTTTTTTTGGGTGTTGGATTTTGTGAGTTCTTCATATATTTTGGATACTAACCCTTTATCAGGTATGTCATTTGCAAATATCTGCTCCTGTTCCCTAGGGTGCCTTTTAGTTTGATTGTTTCCTTCTCTGTGCAGAAGCTTTTTATTTTGATGTTGTTCCAATTGTTTATTTTTGCTTGGAAAAATCAGGGACATTTAAAAATCCTGAATACGTGATAGTAACACACAACTATCTAACACCCCTGACCCAAAATAAGGCAGAAATCACATATTTAAAGACCAATTTAAAAAGAAAAAAGAAAAGCTTTACTTTTCTTACACAAAAATCAAATATCAACTGTCCAGATGTAGAAAAGAGTTAACAACTGAACTGACAGCATTTTCAAAATCTAGTTGACATCATTAACCGCAGACTGTCTACCTAGCGAGCTCAATTCTTTATATTCTTCCTGGAATACCCAAAGAGAGGACATCGGCTTACCAGTCAGCACTGCTTTGGCAGACGGGTCTGCTAAATCCAACGCTGTCCTTCCATCTGTATTTCGGATGGTTGGCTCAGCTCCGTGCTGTAAGAGCACTGCAACACAGAAACACTACCTTTCAAAATGGTAACCATGACAATATTCTTTTAGTAAATCATTTTCTCAAAAACTCTGGTCCAGAAGTCTTAGAGTTATTTAAAGACCTTTCATATCCTGACAGTATGGTAAATGTTATATTTTAAAGATAAGAATATAGAAAATATTGCATTATTTAATGTATAAGACACCTTAAATAAATGTCCCCTAAGATTAATGTCAGGTTTCCTTTGCTCTGTGACTGAAGACAGATCAGAGTATATAAAGAAATAAAAGACTAGTTTACTTAAAAGCTTGTTTTCTCATTCCAAAGGAACACTGCCTATGTTACAAAGAATGTCCTACCATAACAAAAATAGAAGTTCCAAAGCCATGAAAGCCCGGGAACAGGGACCTGTGGAATTAAAAAAGGAGGAAAAAAAAAAAAAAAAAAAAAAAAAAAAAAAAAAAATCACACAGGTAAATTCTTTGAAAAAGAAAAGAAAAATACTCTGTAGGGTTAACAAACCCCAAATCAAAACTGCTATGTTACATCCTAGAGCACATGAAAAGAACAGATTTGAGCTATATTCTCTACTGTTACTTGTTATATAAAGATATTCTAGGGGTGCCTGGGTGGCTCAGTTGGTTCAGCTGATGCTTGATTTCGTGAGATCCAGCCCTGCATTGGGCTCTGTGCTGTCTCTTGAAATAAATACATACATAAACATGGAAGAAAATTTTTAAAAAAAATTCCAGCATACTCTTTAAGTAAGTGCTGGTGAAAGACAGGCAAATACATGCAGAGCAGGAAGCCTACCTCCTGTTCTTTGACAGGGTTATTATATTCATTCCACTCTACCACTACCTGTAATAGTGCTGTCCAACAGAAATAAAACGTGAGCACATATGTAATTTAAAATTTACTAGTAGCCACATTAAAAACAGGATAAGTTATTTTCAATATTTTATTTAATCCAATATACCCAAAATACCATCATTTCAACATTTATATTTACATTGTGATCAATATAAAATTGAGATTTTTGCATTCCTTTCTTTCATGGTTTTTGAAATATGGTATGTTAAAAGTATATCTCCATTCAGACTAGCTGCATCACATGTGCTCAGTTACCATATTGGACAGTGCAGATCTATAACCATATTTGGAAAACGCTACATTATTAAAGCTGATGATTTATAGGTCTATGACTCAGGAACTAGAAAAGGGCAGAGGGCAGCAGCAATTTCAGATAACACACAGGAAAGCAGAACAGGGCAGAGGCTACTAGGTAAAGTGTTTTGTATCTTGATTATAAATGACCCAACTTGAGCTAGGCTGGGACTGGTATAAATAGTTATAAATAGCAATATGGGGTTTTGGGGTGAGGAGAGAGTGACTTTTTTTTTTTAATGTTTATTTATTTTTGAGATAGCGCAAGTGGGGGAGGGGCAGAGACAGCAGGAGACAGAATCCAAAGCAAGCTGCAGGCTCGGAGCTGTCTGCACACAGAGCCAGCCCAATGTGGGGCTGGAACTCACAAACAGTGAGATCATGACCTGAGCCGGAGTCGGATGCTTAACCGACTGAGACACCCAGGTGCCCCAAGAGAACAACTTTTAAATCCAGCATAGAGCACTTGGACTTTTCCTAGTGCACCGAACTGGTTTTCTAGCTGTCTCGAGGATTTCAGCTGTCCTTGTTTTGAATCAGGAAATAGAGCTAAGGTAAGCAGAGTCTGAAACCCTTGACTGTTAGGCTCAGAAAAGTCAATACCAGGTTAATGAAAACTCTCAAATAATCTTTTCAATTATAATTTTCTGTCAGTGACCAACCAACCTATCAGGCCAATCCTGTATCATTTGTTAACTGATCATATGTCCTTCAAATGCTTCTTATCCTGCCATTTCTATTCTACAACCCTCCTTGATGCCCTCATTTCTCATCAGGATTATTTTACAGCTTCCAAGCTAGTCTCTCTGATGCCATCCATTCAACTCAGCACTGTACCAGATCGTTCTTTCAAAAATATACTACTCTTACCAGACTGTCTCCTCCAAAGTCTTCAATGATTTCACACTACCTACATAACAGTATCAAGCTCCTTAATCTGCAATTCAAAGCTTTTTACAAAGAAGTCTACCTACCTTTTCAATCTTTCTCCCACAACTTCCTGGAAAGACTCCAGGAAGGAGAAACCTGACTCCAACCCAGTCATGGTACTCAGTATCCTCTAACACTCTCTGTTCATTTCTATCATGACTATACTTGCTTCTTCATGTGTCTTATCTAAATTTCTACAGAATGGGAATTTTGTGCTCTCTTCTTTAAGGAACTTAAGCTCAATAACATACAAAAACAGACACTCAGTAAATAATGGTTAGATTAAATCACAAAGTATTCTCTAGTATTTAAATAAAGCCTGGCAGAATTTGATCATATTAACAAATGAATTTAACTTAGATTCAGAATAGTTACTTCAAGAATATTCTGGAAAGTAAACAGACTTACCAATGCAAACATCAATCTTTCCTTTAATTGCAGCTTCATGGAGGGGAGTATAATTCCAATTATCACGAGCATTTGGGTCCGCACCATGTCGCAAAAGGAGACCGACTACTTCAGCATGACCAAAAGAACATGCATTATGAAGAGGAATAAGCCCTCCATCATCACGTGCTTGGACATTTGCACCATTCTGAAGCAAATATTCAACCACATCTTTACGCCCAAAACCTAAAAGAAAACAAATTATCCACATTTAAGTTTGCCAAAGAGAATACATCAATTAGTGTCAATAAATACTAGCCACGCTAAAATGTCTTTAAAAAAAAAAAAATAAAATAAAATAAAATGTCTTTGGATGAAGAATAACAAAAGATACAACAATTAAAAAAATAATTGATGAAAAGAGGGTCTGAAATATATCACTTACTAATCTTAATAAGAAAGCAGAGGGACTCTCCGATGCTTTAGGTAGTATAGCTGACTCTTGAACAACATTGGTTTGAATTGCATGGGTCCACTTATAAGCAGATTTTTTTACAGTACTATAAATGTATTTTATTTTCTCTTTGTTATTACTCTAAGAATACAGTATATAATACAGATGACATATGAAATATTATTACTTGACTGTTTATGTTATCAGTAAGGTTGCTGTGGGCAACAGTAGGCTATTAGTTAAGTTTTTGGGGAGTTAAAAGTTATATGTGGATTTCTGACTGCACAGAGATCAACACCCCAACCCCCACGTTGTTAAAGGGTCAAGTGTACTACTAACTTCAGAGAAAGGTTATGAAGTAAGTGACTGAAAGCCCAGAGTTCAAATGTTTCCCACTCTCTAATGGCATTTCTAGTTGCAAATATGGAGTTCTGCATATTTAGTGTGCATACATTTTCAGATATTCAAAGTATATAACTCTTGCTAGAATCTCTTTCCCACATCTATCTCAAAAAATGATTCCACTAAATTAGGGACTATGAGATAGCAACACAAAAAATATCTGCTTACAGTTAGTCTATGCAATGAAAATAGAAGCGATCTTGGGCAACAGTGTGACATCAGGTGTCTTCAAAGGAGCCCCTACGTTGTCACGTGCACAACACAAGCAACCTCTTTCTAGGTAGGAGACCTCCTTCAGAAAACCATGTTCCACAGTTCTGCTGTAACTGCCCCCATATCAAACAAAAGAAAAAAGTCTGACAACTCATTTATACTGGTTTACAGAATCAGTACTAATGAATTTCAATCTCTTACCATTCTCACATAACAACACTTAAAACTTTTTTTACAGCTAAAACAAAATGAAATGGGAAGAATTTCAGGCATATGTTAAAGCAGATGGGGAGGTTATACTTGAGTGCTAGGAGAGACAGAAGCCCCTTCTCACTCATCTAAAGTTTTACCCCAATATTCTTTTTGGCTAAAAAAATTTTTTGAAATTATTTTTGGGGAAGTGCAAGTAGGAGAGGGGCAGAGAGAGGGGGACAGAGGATCCAAAGCAGGCTCAACGCTGAAAGGCTGACAGCAATAAGCCCAACACGGGGCTTGAACTAATGAACCACGAGATCATGACCTGAGCTGAAGTAAGATGCTCAACTGACTGAGCCACCCAGATGACCCTTACCCGAATATTCTCAAAACCACCAATCCTGAATACAGTTTTTCTAAAACCAGAGTGGGAGCTGAATGAGAAAGCAGCAGTAGTGGGGTGCCTGGGTGTCTCAGTTGGTTAAGTGTCCAACTCCTGATTTCAGCTCAGGTCATGGTTTCAGGGTTTGAGGAGTTTGAGCCCTGTATGGGCTGAGGTGACAGTGTGGATCCTGCTTGAGATTCTCCTTATTTCTCTGCCTCTCCCCTGCTTGCACTCTCTTTCAAAATAAATAAACTTAAAAAAAAAAAGCAGCAGAATCTTTTTAAGGTGTATGCCTGGGGCTGGCCTAGTTGCAGCTGACTTAAGAATTAGATGGTTGGAAAGATTAACTGGATTCTTTGTTTTAATATTGCTAGGCTCCATGTCACAAAGATAAGTATCTTCCTATCTCTGATTCTCCCTATTCTCAAAGAGCTCACAATTTAAGATGTGGAAAAACAAAAAAAGGCCATCATTTCAATACAACTGCCATAACAGAGGTATACCAAAAATGTTACTAAAGTCCAAAGAAAGGAATACCTAAATTGGGGGAAAAGCAGAGAATAGGAAGGACTACCCAAGGAGATTCCAGTGAAATCTGAATTGAAGACTTACAGAAAAATCAAGGGATCATGAAGAAAATGAGGAGAGGAGAGGTGGGTGGGAAGGATCTGAGCAAGGGTAGAACACTGCAGTCCAAGCAGAAGAGACAAAATGTACACAGACACGGAAGCATGAAAAAGCAAATCATTCACGATAAGACAGAGAATGCCAATTAGGCAGATAACCAGATGAGGAAAAATCTTTTATGTCATGCTAAGGTGGCATCTGGACTTTGTCTTATGGAATCCTGTTTTTATAACTGTTTTCAGGCAGGTTTTAGTGGAATCTTTTGCCTTTAAAAAAAGAAGCTGAGACACAACTCACAAATAATGTACTAGTTTCAAGTGTACAACATAGTAATCCAGCATTTTTATATACTGTCAAATGAACAGCACATTAAGTCTAGTTAGCATCCATCAGCACACATAAATTACAAATTTCCTTCTCTTGTGATGAGAACTTTTAAGATCTACTCTCTTAGCAACTTTCAAATATACAGTGATTAAAATAGTCAGCATACTGTACATTACATCCCCAGGACTTATTATGTAACTGGAAGCTTTTATCTTTGGACCACCTTCACTGATTCACCCACCCCTTCACCTCCCACTTCTGACAACTACCAATCTGTTCTAGGAGGGTTTTTTTTTGGG